GGTTTCCAGAAGAAATGTAGCACACGTCGATGTCCCCCCCAATCCTTTAGCCAGGTGTGACAAAGGGTTAAGCTGTGTGCAAGTCGGTCTCCGACGACGGGATGAGACCAAGGGATCAGTCGGGGTGTGGGAAACCATCATCTGCATGTTCTCATTCACACCAGCTCGTCACCTACAGTACCTGCTGTTCGGTTTACATTGACTTTGAGGCAAACGTAATACTTTAACTTTGGGGTAAACCTAACGTGTGTATATATCAAACGTAATATGTAGACTTTGAGGTAAACGACATACTTTGACTTTGAGGTAAATGAAACACCTTAACTTAGAAGTGAACGAAATAACTTGGCCTTGAGGTAAATGCAATGCTATGACTTTGAGGTAAACGAAATACCTTGACTATGAGGTAACCGTAATGCTATGACTTTGAGGTAAACGAAATATCTTAACTTTGCTATGACTTTGAGGTAAACGTAAGCCTTTGTACCCCACCTCGAGCTTACAAGACCAAGTACGCACACCTAGGGTCTCCACTTTCTGCGGGGCTTCGTTTGGGTCGCTGTGACGTCATGTGCCGAGGACTTTTTAAAAACTTATATAAGTTTAAGAATGGGGCGCTGCAATGGGGGTGGCGGTCAGAACCTACTTTTACCGACTTTGAGTTAACTTTAAGTCTTTTTCAGTAGACAGCGAGAGCCACTATTTACTTATTTGTAAATCTATGTGTTTGCTCGTTCAATTCAAAGCTCGCTTGTTCTTCGAGTCGTAATGACTTGACGAATAGGCACGCAGAGAATACGAAATCTACACAACACAATCAACATTTTATACGCAAACAGTGTACATGTACTTGCATTCACTGACATACACACTGGCGTTGGTCATATAGCGGTTAGTTGCTTCGTTGTCGCACCGCAGGCGACAAGAGTTCGATTCCCTGAGTGGGGGGACTATTTAATTGAATATATTTGTCTTACTGCTGGAAGGCTGTATCCCTGTCAGCCCAGGTTGGCCTGACAAGCAGAGTCGGATGCCTACCTCCCAAATGATCTAAATTGTGTCTATGGAGGCATCTAAAAATACAAATCTAAACATGACACGCACATACACACACAAGCGCACGCACGCGCGCGCACACACACACACACACACACACACTCACACACA